TCGTCGGCAGCCAGCTTGGCATTATCGATGTGCACCACCATCCTGGCGTTGTCTGCCTTGGTGCACAGAACCTGGAGGCCGAAGCACATAGGGGGTCAGTCCAGGATAAGAAGCCAAGCGAGGAGAAGACGGTAGCTGGGGTCTCAGCAGCCTAGCAGCCATCACTACAGAAGCCCCTCCTCCCTGGAACTCTGGGGGGAGGGAGGGGGTACTTTAGTGAACTGCTCGTCCTTAAAGACATGAGATTTATTTCTTAAGCACCTGGGTCTGCATAAACCAAAATACCCCATTCTGGGTCCAATGAGCAATACGGAAGGAAAGACCCTCATTAAGTCTGAAGTCATTCATGGGACAGTTAGAAGGGTCCTTCCTCAGCACTAACATTTACTGAAAACCCACCCCGTTCCAGGGGCTGTGCTCAGTACTTGACCTGCATCAACTCAGGGAATCCTCTTGGCATCGCCATTAGGTAAGGACCGTTATTATCCCCATTCTACAGATGGGGAAGCTGAGGCCCAGGGAAGGGAAGGGACCTCCCAAAGTCATGCAATGGAGACTACATCCCAGGCCCCTTTCCACGTTAAGGGCTCTGGCTGGGTGCTCCAATTATGAGCTCATTCTGTGCCCTCGGGAAGCCTCTTGTCCCTGAACATAGCCTGGTAAACGATGAGATTCCAATCTAGAATGCCTGCCGTCCCAGTTGCCTTCCCAGTCTGTTCAGCGCCCACCCTCACCTTCTGCTGCAGCTCCTCAATGGTCCTGAAATACGACTGGTAGTCAGGACACATGGTGGGCACTGGAGACTGGCAGGCCTCTTGGATCTTGCTCTCCAGGTTGGCGTTCTCCTGCTCCAGCTGCCGCACCTTCTCCAGGTAGTTGGCCAGCCGGTCATTTAGGAACTGCATGGTCTCCTTCTCGCTGCCATTGAAGGTCCCTTCGCAGAGCCAGCTGCAGGTCCCCATGGGGCCAGAGATGCCAGCGGTGGGCCGGCAGCCACTGGGTCGGCAGGAGCTGGAGAGGTAGGTCTTGGAGAGGCAGCCGGCCGGCCGGTAGGTGGTGGGCATGCAGACGGAAGGCACGCAGGGCATGGGCTGGCAGACGTAGCCCAGGCACAGCTCGGGCCGGCAGTTCATGCCGCTGGAGCAGACAGAGGAGGCCCGGGGGCAGCTCTTGACGGAGGCAGGTGGGCAGTTGGATGCCATGTGGGGGAGGCCCCTTCTCTCAGCGGCAGCTGCTTGGATCGCCAACACCTACAGACCCCATCCCTCTGGGGCCTTTTATCCCCTTGGAGTGAGGGGCCTCGCCCTAGAAAGCGGTGTTGATGTGTACACTCGGCCTCAGAGGAAGCTGCTAATTAATTTGTAATTTGGTTTCCAATAAGCAGTTCCTTTCCTCATAAAAGAGACCAAGCTTGTCATTTGGCTACAGCTGGCCTCCTGTCATTGATCACCAGGGGAGAGTTTCCGGACACATCTTCAAAGGATCGGCTCCAAGCTGGGCCCTCATTACCAGGGCGGGGTGGCCAGGAGACCATGGCAGCCTGGCCCTGTGCCCCCCGGGGCCTGGCCCACTGCGCCCCCGCCTGCTCTGGCTCTGAGAAAGGCACAGTCTATGGGCCTGTGGGCATTCCTCTTAATGAGAGCGTTCCCTGTGGGAAGAGGCCTGGCCCTGAAGGAGGAAGTGTGTGGGTGACAGAAGCTGCATCGATACTGGCAGTGGTAGAAATCCAGGCAGGTCGGGAAGAGAACCTCTGGGGCTTCAGAGCATGGATCAGCTTCCTCCCCAGGGGAAGAAATAATATCTGGGGCAAGAGAACAAACTCAAGTCAGAAAGCCTTAAGAGCCAGGGACAGCCTTGCAGCTGGACACCGTTGAGAAAGATGAGGGAATGCCACTAGGGGAGAAAACCTTCAATGTCCTGGACACCTCCGTGAGGCGGATGCTCTATCTTGACCGGCTCTGGATCACCCTTTCATTGCTCACTGCTTCACGTACAGGAAGCAGTGAGCAATGCAAGTCAAGTTCCAGTCTTGTTTGCTGAGACGGAGGCTGGCCAGGCTGGCACCGGCCCTACTTTCCCTTTCTGCAATAGTGGACAGGGAGGGCTCCTGTTGGGGCCTCAGAGAGGGGAGGCAGGGGGCATCGGCTCCCTTGAGAAGTGACACTTTGCAGCCTGGGGATGAGCTGTGCCAGGAGGTGGGGACAGGTATCTCCAGTCATAGGAGCCTTGACATTCCTTAAGAAAGCAACAGGTGAGACCTGTGGTTTCAGTCCTTGTCTGCAATGCCTGCCAGCTCAAACATGTCACGTTTAATGTGTGTGTGTTATGTAGCCACGTCCTATTCCTTCATCTTCTCAACATAATATTGGGGTATAAGCACTTGTCCTGTTTTTCACATATCTCTAGAAGTATTGGTGGAGAGGCAGGGAAGAGAAAACCCCACTCAGCCCTATTCCCAGAATACTTTGCTTAAGAAAAGTCAAGAGAGAGATTATTACCTTCTAACTTGCTGTGTGACCTTGGGAAAGTCACTTTACCTCTCTGGGCCTCAGTTTCCTCATGCAAATTGAAAAGGTTAGGTTAGCCCAGCCACATGGCTCAGTGGTTGAGCGTCAACCTATGAACCAGAAGGTCACAGTTCTATTCCCGGTCGGGGAACTCAATTCCCAGTGTGAGGTGTGCGGGAGGCAGCCGATCCATGATTCTCTCTCATCATGGATGTTTCTATCTCTCTCTCCCTATCCCCCTTCCTCTCTGAAATCAATAAAAATCTATTTTTTTTTTTAAAGTACACCATGGGGATCAGACAGTACTGAGGTCGATGTCAGAGGCGCCCTGAGCCCCCTGAACTTCCAGGGGCCTTGCCAGCAGGGCTCTCAGCCTGGCTGCTCCCTGGAATCACGTGCAGAGCTTTAATAAACCCCAACGCCAGGCCTGTTCCAGACCCACGAAGTCAGGATTTCAGACCAGGCATCCATGTGTTTCAAAGGCATCAGCCTTGGTTAAGGCCAAGGACCTCTGGCCAAGTGGAAACAGCTTTACAATTGAAAAGCACAAGCTAATAAAGTAGATAGTAATGCCTTCTGCACAGGATCTGGTGTGCTCCATCTTGGAGGGAGTTAGGGTAGGTTTGGAAGAGGCTTGTACCACAAATAATAAAGAGGAGGAGGAGAAGGAGGAGGAGGAGGAG